CCCATCAACCTTCTCTCCGCACTCACATTTTTTCATCGATTCAAGCGCTCAGTTCAGCATCTCACAGTCATGTGCTGAACACCCCAAATCCCCCCCCCCCCGCCCGCAAATACGGAATTTGAATGGAATTTAACATAAAGGAAAACAAATCCTGGAACAACTAAAAAAATGTATCTCGTGGACAATTAACTCGTTTTGTGGAGGTGTGCCGTGCATAACCGGCGACACGCTTCCCAGTGCGGGTCGTCGTCAGCGGCACGGCGTGGACGATCCGTCGCTCTGACCGAGGCTCGAGGAAACGACCAGCCGGACCGGAGCGTGTTGTGACTGCGTCGCGTGTCCACGGAACGGTGGCGCTGTAATTAGGGAGGCGTGTAGTCCTGAGATCAGGAAAAGGGGCTCCTTGCGTAGCAGCAATGCCACCGCTGCCGCTGCTTGCTGTTGCCGCCGAGGCGATAAGAGGTCTCAAGTGGCACCTTCCTGAGTGATTTGCCATGAGCAGAGAAGGTCATGACGGACAGGAATCCCGCCCACACTTCAACGACCCCAAACTCTTCAGTTCTCCACCCGCAACCTTACTCCCCCGCCCCCGCGCCTCTCCCGCAGGGTCAAGACTCAGAGGCTTGCGAGATTCTCACGCTCTGACTGCGACTTGCATTTCGCTAAAAATACTCGAGAGAGAGAGAGCCAGGTGGAGGGGAGGTGGGAGTAGGAGGGGGAAGAGACTCTAAGGGAAGCTCACCCAGGGAATGCAGACCGTCCACGCACGAATCAAGCATCCGTTCAATGCCGTGGAAAGTAAACATTGCCGAATGATGAAAACTTTTCTCCGCCGAGTTTCAATTTTTTTTGTTTGTTATCAATTTGCATTCAGGCTCAACAGAAACTGGCAGACTAACCGAGTCGTCTTTTTTTCTGGATTGGCATTCGGCCCAAGAATGTTTGGTGCACCAAACCCACCAGCATCTGCACAGCTGCAATGGTAAATAGCATTAATACGAGTGCTTATTGCTTCTCCTCGATACAAAGTGGGTTTCTGAGCCTTTGAGCAAACAGCATGATGCTTAAGACAGCACGAGAGAGAGAGACCTTGACATTTCTTTACAACCAACAGCTGCGTGTAGGCTTATGGGATAATACAGCAGAGCCAATTGATTTCCACTCATATAATCATTCTCAATTAGGTCATTCCGATGCAATTGATTACAGGGTTAATGATTAAGACCCATTCACTTGGCCTAAACTTATGTAAGTAGCTCAACAGGTTTTATTTTGGTCATCTGGCCAGAAGTAATCTGCCAGCTGCCAGACTACAGTTTACACAGGCCACGAAAGAGTTAACGCTTCACAATGAGATGTACAATTTCAAGTTTTAATTCTCCTTTATGCAAATGTTAATACTCCCCTCCTATGCTGGTCAGAAGGGTGTTCTTGGAGATGATGGGGTGGGGGGGAGGTACCTACATTTACCCCACAATATGAAAATCCATCAATTGGCTTGCATCAACGTGCCGGTCTTACTGCTGGGTGAGCAAAGGTGTAGCAGTTGCTCTAGAAACCTACCTTGACCGGGGATTGAAACCAGCTCCTCCAGCTTACAAGGTCCATATGTTCCATGTGACATTACAATGGCTCCGTGTTTGTGTGTGTACTGTCAGAAGTGCTTGTTTTTGCATGTAAAATACTGTAGCATACTCCATATGTGAGTTTATTTTACAAACAAACCCAACAGCACTGTCTCATTATCATACCACATTCTTTAGCACAGGACTGCACTCCACGAAACACTGGAGGTATTTTCTTTTGACAAGAGATTTAAAAAAAAAATATCAAGATTGTAATAAAATTGACACCGACATTAATTACGCTTCGATTAGCAAGTAAATTATTTTCCTAAGTGCTCACGTAAACCCTTGCTGCCGTGGCTTGATTGATGTTTGTCAATTGGCATTAGTGCTATTGGCCACACTCCACCCTGGGAAGGGGCTCGGCTCTATATGTTGTAAATCAATGTTCCAAAGGGGGCTTTTCTTTCACTCAAGACTACACCCCAGCCTGGGTCCAGCTGTGAAAACACTCAAGGGGCGGACTCTACCCCTCTGGGTTGAAGTGGCAGACCTATCATATTTTCGTATTTTTCTTTCATTTCCATATTACCTCTCCATGATGATGGTTACGGAACAGAGTGCTAGTGCTTCAGCATCGGGACTCATCAGCGGTTGTACGGTTAGAGTTCAAACCCCAGCCTTGTGGCGGGATGGCATGATGGGGACAAGAAGCTTTCTCTCAAGGGGACCGACGGCCGTCTGAAAACAATTCGCGGCACCCCAGATTGAAGATGCAGTGTTCACTATTGCCCACGTGACCTGATCACCGACAATGTGCCCCCCCCCCCCCCATATTATCAGATGGCAGAAAACCGAGCCTGGATCAGGGCTTGAGTTGGTGGCCACCATGCACAGGTTTCCATAGGGGGCTGCCGAGCTCCGTGGTGGGCAGCAGAGGACGTTGGCAGCAAACATCCACCACTGCGTTCTACTTCTATGCCCCCCACGTCTTTGCTCTGTACCCTCACCAACCGGCACTGACCAGCATGGTGAAGTATGGTCTCAAAAAACTCCCCACGGGCCGCACGGTCTGGGGAGCCACCTTTATTTCAGCAGTGTATTGACAAATAGGATTGTTACTTGTACAAAGACAAACACCCCCCGTATGGCCTGTAATAGACTGTAGGACCGCCTTTGTACACCCTCACTACGCCATGCATAGTTTGTGTCCTTCTAAATGAGAGCTTGCTTCCACAACTGACCCTACCCACAGGCTCCTGGCATTACATTTTCAGGTCTCACTCAAGTCTGCGAAGCCTTATGCGACGTGAATGCAAGAACGAGAAAATGCAAAGTACGATCATGAATTCCGTAACGCCTCCCCAACACTGTCCTCGGAATTTTTTTGTTAATTTAGTAGCAATTACATTTCTATTCCTGAGCTGCACATGGATGTGACGTCACACCAGAGAATAGACGAGACGCATGCTTCGCGAGTGACAGCGTAAGTTATTGATAGCAACACAACCTTCAACTTGCATTTAATTAATATTCGATCATCTGTTCGAGATTTATCGCGACAGCGTGTTACCGAGAGACATGAAGCGAGATAATGCATCAATGCGTACAGTGTCAAGTTGGAAAGTCTATCGAACTAGCTCTACATCTCTGGCCCCTCTATGTGCTGCAAAGAAGGGCCATTGCCCGAAACGTCACCTATTATATACTCTTTCTTTTTAAGGCCACATGCAGTATTATTAAGGAAAGGGGAAAAAAATTGGTTGACAAGTGTAAAAAAGCATGCTCGGTTAAGTGCGGTGCCAGGAGCCCTCTTTCATGTGTTGCTCACAGTTGGGGCCCCAACAAGTCTGCCCCCTGGCAGGGGGTCACATCCCGATGCCCCATCGATCACAATAGCGGGGCTGGGCACCAGAGCAGCCTCATCACTGCGAACTCAAACCATTGGACCATGGCGTATCGCCACTGGTCCCGTTTCGAACGTTCACCGGCAGCGTTTCAGATATTCGCCAGGCCACTTCCTCTAGCCGCCCACTGGCTCATTCACCAACCCCGACACGAATGTATAAACGTCGCTCATCGACTCCCCCGCCATGTGAAAGAAACAGACACCAATGCCATCTTGCAGAGTCACCGATCGAGCATCACACGCCTGCCGTGGCTATCCGTCGGCACTGTCATCCATGTCTCCGCTCAGCCTTTTTCACGATACCTTTATGGGTATACGATTAGCACGTTTGGGTTACGTACGGTGCGCAAGTAGTTCAACATGCACACAATACCTACACAGGGAAGCCCTCGCCACCCTTGCCCCCGTTTTGTATGTATTCGCCGTGTTAATGGACACATGCTGGATATGTCGATGACCATCTGTGTGGTTGTGTGCGCATGTATCTGACGGTCAATGTCTGTGTGAACTTGGGGTGCCAGCAAAATGCGTGGGTGGCACTGGAAAGCACGCTCAGTGCGATCATTTCCATCGCTTTAATCAGGTGAGTAGGCATCGATGTCCATGGGGATCTTCTCGACCACAACGGTTGCATAGGAATAGTTTAAAGTGTATTCATAAGGACGCATTTAGATGGAACTAATCTCCAATGGCTATGCTCAAGAAGTGACACCGGACACCGTGGTGAGGTTTGGTCAAATAACCTCCACGACCCACGTGGTGTGGATGAGACTCTCACGCAATATATTTACATGACAGCATTTGAAATTTGAGTCAATAACTTAAACAAAAAATGCATAGCACACGACAATAAGTTACTGCAAGCATCAACGATGTGCGTAACTATGTGTGTGTGGGTGTGTTTCTCGGGTGTATATCACGATACGTACCTATTTTCGGCGATTGCTCATGCCCTGGCAAAGGTAAAGTGTGTTGAATCATGCAACATGCACTGTCGACGATTTGTAGAAAACTGCCGCAAGGCAATGCATGCTGCATAACGCATATAGGTTAGATACTGGTGTTGTTTCGCAACGTCGTTCTGAAATTCCAATGACTAAACAATTATACACGTCTTTTTCACTTCCGACAATAACTACCAAATGACTCGCAGCCCTTTGTCAATCCACTACTGGCTAAATATCTCCTCCACGGCATCCCCAGTCGTTGGGGTTGATTGACCATACTTCACCAGTGTTAGGTGAGTGAATGGATAGGGGGCGGGGGGCACATCACTCGCCACTGATGCTAGCCGTGGCAGGGAATTTAACTAATGTGCTCGGGTTGAAAGCGCAGTGCGCTGACGTCCACCACCAATAACAACCAACTCACTCCTCACCCACGAAATCGCCAATAACAATGCAGTGTTAAATGTTGAATAAAACACCATCGAAAACAATTATCGGGTAAAAGTAACGCACAGACCGGTACTTAAGTACAATTCTGAACGATCGGATACACAAGGTGTTAGACTACGCGACACTCACCTGTGCCGGAAAGTTAGCTTTAACCCAAGGAAGCGCTACTCTGATTCTCGCCTTAAAACTCCTCTTATTTGTCAAGCTCCTTCTTGAGACGGTTTGGCCGGTTCACTTCCAGCAATTAGTCGTTTTCGGAACAAATTAAATGCTACGAGTTAATCACGCGCTGATTAGCGTCATGAGCTCGATGGTATCATTGCCACGCGACGCCGGAAAATTGGCAACAGCAGTGGTGGTGGGAATCGTGCGACTCGACCCAAAGTTGAGTTCCGGTTGAACCGGTCCAGCGTCTGTTTCACGGGGGGGGGGGGGGGGGGTGGTTTTGGTTTTTGCTTAAATTTTCAGTTCCTTCGGTGGCGGTCATGTCGGTGACGACGTGGAAACACGGAATTTGTAAGACGGCGAGCCAGCGACGGAATGTCCTAAATTCATCGCCGTGGTCAATCCACTGCTGGATTAGGGCCTCCTATTTGGACATCTGTGAAAACAAGCTTCATTGCCCATCGGATTCCTCCAGTCTAAATGAAGATTACGGTTGATTCTGACTCGCTAATCAGTCGCCAGGACCTATCACGCTCCTGCGATGTAACGAATCAACCAGCACCCGCGCACGAGCTGATCTTATAGCTCCATCTCCTCGACAGATGAACCCTGTCTGTCGGTCTGTCGGTCGTGTTCCATTACCCGCATGCCTTGGCAGTCACTCGATCGCTATTCTTGACCACCGGCCATCAACCCTCCCAACGACGTCTCCTGCCCAAGCCACACTTACATTTCATAACAGTTGCGTGATGCCGGCACACCTGCGTATTTCTTTAGAAATTCTTCGCGCGTTTAGTTTCGTTGCGCTTGACCCGCACCTCCGATTTGCACGGCTGGCTACGTACGGTGCGAAAGAAGTTCTCTAATCCAAGTGTTCCTGCTTCTGTAGCTCAACGTAATCGCAAGCTTGCACCTCTCGCAAAGAGTACGTTTTAAACGTCATGGCACCGCAATTGGTAAGATGTTTTGCTGGCTTCGTAATGAATTACAATCTCGCGAACGAATATTGACAACCGCATATTATTTGTACGGGAGTATTATTTTTTCTAGGCTGTGCAGAACAACTACTCGACTGTGAAAAGTCACACGCCTGTCCGCCGACACCCTATTGCCGAACGAACCACCTTGCCAATGCAACCAACGCTCCTTAATTACACAAAGCTATCGTACAACATTGATCCGTCTTCCAACAGGCTTGTTAACCGAACGACGTAACCCCATTCATAATTATTAATCTGCAAAAAAGCTGGCAGCACCTGCAACATTGCGTTGCATCCCCGCACTATGCCATCGCTCGTGTATGCACATGCCAAGTGCCTCGTGTGTTCAATGACACCATGGATGTGTGCTCACTTGCTCGCTCCACTGGCAGACGTGAGGCGCTCCCTTTACGTTTTGCCATTGAACCGAATGCGACATATAAGCCAGCCCATCTCAGTATCTTTAAAACAAACACACACACACAAAACGCCCGACAGAACTGTGGTTTGTTTTTTAGCCGAGCCAATTCAAACCTCTCCAAGACATACACGAGCTTAGTATATCATATTATAACATATACACAGGACCAGACATAGTCTATCATATTATAACATATACACAGGACCAGACATAGTCTATCATATTATAACATATACACAGGACCAGGCATAGTCTATCATATTATAACATATACACAGGACCAGACATAGTCTATCATATTATAACATATACACAGGACCAGACATAGTATATCATATTATAACATATACATAGGACCAGGCATAGTCTATCATATTATAACATATACACAGGACCAGACATAGTCTATCATATTATAACATATACACAGGACCAGACATAGTATATCATATTATAACATATACACAGGACCAGACATAGTCTATCATATTATAACATATACACAGGACCAGACATAGTCTATCATATTATAACATATACACAGGACCAGACATAGTCTATCCTATTATAACATATACATAGGACCAGGCATAGTCTATCATATTATAACATATACACAGGACCAGGCATAGTCTATCATATTCTAATATATACAAAGGACCAGGCATAGTCTATCCATACTCTTTGGTTCTTTCGGTAAAGTCACGTATGTATAGAATAAAATAAAGACGTTTCGGGCGCAACACAAGCGTCCGTCATCAGGTGTGAAAGCATGATCTGCTGCTATTTTATACCTACGTGACTTTACCGAAAGAACCAAAGAGTATGGATTCCTGCAGTCACGAAAGCTTCAAAACAATATAGGATTTTCTATTATAACATATACGCAGGACTAGGCATAGTCTATCCTATTATAATATATACACAGTACCAGGCATAGTCTATCCTATTATAATATATACACAGTACCAGGCATAGTCTATCCTATTATAAAATATACACAGTACCAGGCATAGTCTATCCTATTAGAAACACATAGTACCATACATTACAATCAATTAAAAAATGATGACGCCACTCACATCACGATGCCAAATCTCCCAGCGTTATGTGCAAGGATTGTTGTCTTGGCTGCAGATGTCCATCAAGTGAGCGATTGAGATGGTGGTGGTGGTGGTGCTGCTGCCGCTGCTGCTGCTGTTGATGGTGGTGGTGATGTTGGTGATGGGGCATCACTCAAGATGCCCCCTATTTGCACGATTCCCCGGTGCGGAATTCTCAGTACCCCCCTCCTCCCCACCTTTATCTGCGGTGCGCTGGAGTAGCTGACGAAGAAGAGGCGACGACTCCCACAGCAGCACAAACCCGGCCACTGCACCGCTAACAGCAGCGGCATCCAAAACTTAGTTCGTTTCCTCTCGCAAGAGGAAGCGCTTAAAGCAGTCGGCGCTGGTTGGGGGGGGGGTGGTGGTTTATGATGATGGTGGTGGTGGTGGCGGCGTGGGGGAGGAGAGTCGGATGATGTTTGGGGTGCCGAGCAGTGCCGCTGAGCTGCCACAAACGTGGTGATCGTGTTCGTCGTGCAGAGGGTAAACCACGACATCTGCTGGCTGTGAACGCTTTTACTTGCAAGGCAGTGAGCATTGGGTTTGTTGACGGCTGTCATTTAAAAAAAAGGCTTGATGTTGAGTATGTTGGGAAAGATCAGGAGGTGCCACCTCGCTTGGTATACAGGTCGTGGGTTCGATCCCGACACTGACGCCTGCTGCTGTATATTTGGAGTTTGCATGTTCTCCCCATTGTAGCGTGGATTGTTCTCCGAGTCCTCCGGTTTTTCCCTCCACATTTATAAGCCACATGCGTTTAGAGTATTTGGCTGCTATACATTTCCACGTGATGAGCCAATTCGTTGAGCAATCATTTGTGGGCAGATCGCTCCTGCAAAAAGAGCTACATAGTTCAACGGGGCCTTACCTGGTAAAATAAAAAAAGTTTCGTTTTACAAGGCTACTGATTGGCGACTTGAAGGAAGGTAGGGGGGCTCAAGATTGAACAGGAGATGGAGTTTGAGCCTGACAAGCCACTGGGCAGAAGATTATAGCAAGAGCCTGTTTATGTGTTATGAAAAGTTCCATTCACTGCCTGTTTTAGATGCCACTTCTCAGCTGAAATGACTTTCAGGCAGTAGTCAACACGGAAATATAGAAGTTGCGATATGAAACCTGCAGACCATGTTTACTTAAGTCCCCCCCACCCCTCTTTGGAAACATCCTCCTATAGGCATAGGAACCGGTCTAGTATACTTTTGGTGTTCCATAAAATACCAAAATGCCATACCGCCGTACATTGACTCATTTTGACCACTGCCCACAGGTATTCAACTTTATTTTTCCTCCATCTCTCCCCTCTACGTGACTTTACCGAAAGAACCAAGAACACGTTTGGCTGTGTTACTTTGTTCTGGCGCTGTGGACGTCCAATTACTTTTCAGCAATCTGTTCTTAATTTGAATTCTATACATCGGTCAAGCTTATTTTACACCTATGTTTAATTTGTCAAGACAGCCGTTGCGCTGTTGGTAAGAGACAACGGTTGAAGATTTACATCTGCTTGGCAGGTTTAGCTGGGTCAAGTGTCAGTGTTAGAAATGTCAGAACAAAGTCTACTTCTCAATATGCAATGGGCGTGGCGCTTCTTTAATACTATCCAGATAACTTAGACATGTGATTTTAGACAAAGGATAATTCTTTACCCAATATTTTAAACATATTTGCCCAACATCGCCAGACCTTGGGGAAGGAAAACATATTACAATTGTGGTACTGTTTAAAATTGCATGCGCTTACATTTCACAAATAAAAAATGGCTTGCTCAGGATGTAATTTAATTTCAGGGTGCTTCCATATTGAAATGGTTTGTGTCGAAAGCAACGCATGCGGTTTCAGTCACGACTCTTAATAACACATTGCCTACACCCACATAATTCTAAGCAATACTTTTTTTCAGGATGGTGTCAGCAATGTTACTTCAAGGAGACAGCACAAAGGAACACCACACACATTTGTGATAGCTTGCCAAGTACCACATTAACACAACTCGCACTGTACCATATATAGCATCATTGCTTTATTTCCAAAAGAAAAATACATGTGAAATACAGTACTCCTCTTTAAAGTCAATAATTTAATCAACAAAAATGTCAGGTAACCAAAACAGAAGTTAATGTGAACAAGTTGCATACGTTTGGTTTAGTTTTACCAACTGCTGATGTCTCGTTCGGTTTAAGTTATTCATTTAAATAGAATAGAATGCTATTTAAATATCCAAACGATTTAGTATACATTTCGGCAACTCAAAGTATGACACTAAACCAAAGTACTTAAACTAAGAGTACACACACATATGTGAACATTCATGTATATTAGTACTGGCATGCGTTGGCAATAAGAAACTCATGTTTCCATTTCAATAAAATTATTAAAAATGAAAGCACTTCACCTATGTGTACATACAAACTTTAAGTAGGTTTATGTGTGCAGTTATTGGTTATTCGAGTCTCTACAAGAGAGCTCTTCGAACCAATTTGTAACTTAATTGAATGGATGTAAAAATAAAAAAGCGTCAGACACCATCACACAGCTGTACACCATCCACAGATCGATCTCGTTCAACTTATGATTGACAATCTGTTGACGTTGGGGTAGAGGAGAGAACAAAAAGCGAAGTTTGGGAACCACTGTTAGGCAAATATGGGTTTGCCAGCCTCCATTTGACAACCAACTTATTCCTCCACCCCGACTTTGTTAGCATGGCTAGAGCACAAGTCATCGACTCGCAATGCACACGATTTGCGGGTGGTCGCTTTGGATTCCTTTGCCCCCAAAATAAAATGGAGCTGCTTCCTCGATGCCTCTGATGTGAATCGCGGCCGGACTGGTCACTCCTCATCTGCCTCCAAGTTGATGTTGGTGCCAAACTTGGCATAGAGTTGCACCTTGAGCTCCGACAGCAGCTTCTTGATGGTGACGGCACGAGCTTCCAATGCAGCAATTTCCTCCTCCATGCTTTTCTGTTGCGCACGAACATCCATTACATATAGCCACGTTAACACAGAAACTTGCCCCGAAATGTGACTTCAATGAAACGGCAAAGCACACAAGACGGCGCTACTTCTACATTTTACGGCAACTTATGTTTGAAGACAACTTATAACTATGGGCATAATACATTATTGCACAATACCATTTCAACATGGAAGACAAGAGGAATTTCTGAAAGAATGCTAGGTTGTGAGTTGATCGGGACAATCTTTCAACAAAAGGCATGCATCTGCCTCAATGCTACTTTAAAGTACATGGATATGATGAAAGCAAAGTCACCGAGGTCTGCATTGCATTGGAGATGAATCATGCAAATAAATTGCATATAAGCTGATGCATAACTCTTAGAACCCAACCTCAAACTCTCATAACGTCACATGACTGGTTACTGCTTTTGACTCATGGGTGCGGAGAACACCTTCGCAGCTTCCAACATCTCCTGAGTCTCCTCCTGGCTGTGGCAAATGAACACCTCCCCAATGTGGTACGGGATGAGCATCGAGTCATCGTCCAGCATCATCAGATCATCGGCCGCATCCTGCAGATTCTGCAGCTCTTTCTGATCAAAAGAAAGGAAAAGAGCCACCACAAGGGAGAAATTACAATTTAACATAACATACTTGTGGTGTACATCAAAATTAAAACCAATGGTGAAGTTGACAATTCTTCAAAGCGTTCAAGCTACCTCTGCTGAGCTGTAACTTTAATTTTCGCTTCTGTTTTTACTGCATATTTTGGCAGCTTGCAGCAATTGGCAAAGGTCATTTACTCTCGCATTCACCACATCTGGCAAGCCAGCCACATCAAAGAGCAACGCATAAAAGATAGATACTTTTGGGCGGAGAGAAAATTAAATTAATTTATTGAAAAATCAAATGATACAAAAAAATTGCACACAATCATATTAAATGTTTCAAAAGTGCATCAAGGCGTTACATCAAATTTCTCAAATAAACCCCTTTTTAAAATAAAACAATGTTGGAAACCTTATTTTTTGTCTTTTATGGAAATGCTTAGCTTTCGTAGTATAGAAGCATTGTAATTTGAAAAGATAAAATCATATGCAAACCAATTAAAACTGTAACTTTTTCGCTATATACCACTTTTCCAGAAAGCACTCTTCCATAAATACATGTGAAGTGTACAAAGAACAACATATTTGAGTAAATTACTTTTCATACACTCGTGGTGTGGTTTTCAGCAAGATCACGCGACCTTGCTGAAAACTGCCCCAAATTGACCATATTAACACACATTAACACATTTTACACGGTTCGTTTGTACATTTCTAAACATTCACTTCATATTCTTACAAAAGCTGGGTGAGGTGAATTTCTCGCCTTACCTTCTTAAGTTCTATTTCATCCTTCAGGTCAACTAGCCTCGTGTTATTTCTTGCGAACTTGTTGATCTGCTGTTGATCTTCAAACGTCACGTTGACGTCCTCCACCTGCAAAGATTGGTCAAGACCATCAACACACTCCCAGGACAACAAACGCCATGCGGCTTCACTGCCCAATCTCTCACCAATGTTGATGCAAAGCTCTCTCTGTAGTGATGCTTCGGACTTTGCACAATTGTTAAATCATGTGTTCGTAATTTCTTTACAGCTCTCATTTGCATGTGCCCACATTATCTCCTACCATTGCAACATACAGTCCACCACTTCGTGGGAGGTCAACAATGTGTGTTTTGTGAAGAAAAAAACCGAGGTCCTGCCAAAGGAATGTGTAATGTCCACTTGATGCCAAGCCAGTATTGGATGATGCTGATCAAATTAGACGATCCTCTTCTATATGAAAGGGGCACTTACAACACTGCCCCTTCCATCTATCAATACAGGGTATTAAATCAATTCAAATGCATTAAAGGCACCACAATAATTAATTGTTACTAAATTAAATATTTCACATTCATAAGTCAATTTCTATCAACTGCTGATGTAGAGATCACCACACCGTCGCTATAGCACACCGTCGCTATAACACACTGTCCTGGGATGCTATAGTCTACCTTGTCCTGTGTATGCGCTAGACTCTCATCACTCCTTTTCTGTTGGGAGTAATCCTCTCATGCGTGTTCTCTGCTTTGATGCTATTCCACCACGAGAAAGTAATCCATCAGCCATCATCGTTTGGAGGGAGCAGAGGTAGCTCTTTGGTATCTGCTTTCGTGGATCATTCTCAAAAAACAAAGACTTTGACACGGATTCAAGGTACTTCAATCGTACTTATTTCTCAAATTGATCAGACAATAATCGCCACCCTCTGCCGATTGTTGTCCACAGGTCAATAAATAACAATGACCCACCCCTCTACATCTTTAAGATAAAATGCCACAACCGGAACCAATTCGTTTCTGGAACCAATTACCCAGTCTTGTTTATATTATCAGATTTGTATGGTCTCCTCATATGCATAGTATTGCTTGTATTGCCTGCGTCGTCTCATTTGTAAACTTTGCAACTCCTAATTTTTAACGTCTCCTCAATATTTGCATTTAGGAAAATTACACAGGTTCAAATGAACGCACGAATAGTGGTGAGCTGAAGAAAAAACATTTATGAACGAATCGATTCACAGCCATTTGCAGCATCCCACCAAACATTTAAAACACGAATGGAATTGGCCAAACATCACCGTGTGGGGCCCTCCTGAATTATACTGTCGAGCTTTAGTCGGTCATTCTTAGATGACGATAACACAATAATACAGTATAACAATGTGCAGCACCTCGTCAAACCACTCTGGTTGAAGGGCTCCACCCAAGAGTGACTATGGTTGATTGACTTACAGTGCCAGGTTGGTCAGAATCAGTATCTTCATTTATCCCGGATAAATCCGATGAGCTATGAAGCTCTTTCGCAACGTCCATTAGGGGCGGATTCCTGCAGTGAGGTAAGCCTGGGACCGATTCAGATATCGTTCGCCACCACTTCTAATTTCGGACGGCTGATGTAGTGTCAGAGCAACAACTACAATTTCGCATTCGCCACTGACGTTAGCCGTGTGTGGGAACGAACTGAACTCCGATGGCCAGGCCTCTCGTGGCGATGAAGACGCTGTACGCTAACCAATACGCCAACTCTTCCCCCGCCCCAGTAATATATATACAATCGCTCGCTATATTTAAAAAAAAACCTTCAAACGTTTTTTGAACGAGGACGGGGCCAGCCAATTTTCCGTGACAGTATCACCACTGCAGCTACAATTTAAATGAACCTGTCATTCATTCGTTCTTACAAGCTCGGTTGGAGCTGCAACTCTGCACGCCTCCATAATGAATGGATGGGCCTGAGGCCCAACCGCATTAAACTCGGGATCGACCACACCGTTTCGAATCGAACATTATACAAACTCAATCATCACGCGACGTTAGCTTTGGCTTTAAGAAAGAGACGCAGCCTTCGAGAGAGACACACCACAGTACGCGCAGAATTAACATTTAAAATGATTCCGGATCGAACGTCGGAACGACAACCCGTTGTTAAGATGTGAATTCGAGTCAGGAAGCTGGTGCAGTAACGAATTGGCATGTCTTGTCTACGTGACATCTTACCAAATGGCTATGTCGGGTGGTGATGGGTTTAACGACACATGTATATTTACGTGATCTAAACCTAACCTCCCCCCCCCCCCAAAAAAAAAACCTATATTAGTAGCAGCAGCAGCAATGCAAAAGCGTCAAGACGTGGGGAAACGACGCTCCGGTGACATCGACGCCGACTCCTGTCTCGTTGCCATATCCGTCAAGCCATCGTCAGTGCCTTACCTTATCACAGACCGATTCAGACCCTTAGTGATCACCCCGTGCCCCTTATAAATCTCAGCGTTCGGCCTACAAAGTCCCATCACAAGGGAGAACCACAAATAAGACAAAAAAATTGTGTGTGTGTGGGGGGGGGCGGCGAGCGGGGGTTGTTTTGCCCGTATTGAAACGACCGTACGCCGCGCGGCCCCGAAAAACTCCATGTCCCTGTTGCAAGAAACAAGAAGACGGAGTGTAAAACGGTGCGAGTGTTTGACACGGAGCCACTGGTCAGCAAGTTCGCGATCCTCACGACTCACCCCCTTGGTCACAGTCGCCGCCATGTCCACCAACACCAGGCACGCCCCGTGCTCGTGGTAAACTCAACTGCCGATTCGCGCGGCGGCCGACCGACGAATCGGCGCACGCATTAACTGACAGGAGGTTCTTAGCTCTTTCGGTAAAGTCACGTTGAAGGGAAACAATAAAATAATATATATAAAACAATAAAAATTCTCACGACGTTTCGACCATAACACGAACGGTCATCATCAGGTGTTTTGAATCAAAATTTGACAGGAGGGTTTTTTTAGTTTAGTTTTTTTTTAGTTTATTTATTTTGGTATAGCCCTGTGAGCCATTCGGCTCTTGAATCGGGTGCAACCACAACAAACAAACAAAAACACGAACAAGGAAAACATCTTAAAGTGACGATGTGACTGTGCAAAACAGAAAATCCATGAAAAAAACAGCTAAATATTCCTGAAAAAAGCATCAACGCTGTGTGCAAAAAATCCCAGTGGGATGCAAGTCAAACAAAAACAACAACCACAAGAACTTAGATTAAGGACAGGAGAAAGAAGAAGAAAATAAAACAAATGAAACATGGTAAAAAAACAAATAAACCTGTTGAGGTCAATTTTGCCCTGCTAGCGCTCCAATGCCTCATCTCACGGCACGATGCCGATAGCGATCCGTAATCGAATTCGGGGGGAAATTAAAAAAGAAAGAAAAGACACCATAGTCGTCCAGCTATAGACACACACACACCAAATGCTCAATCACCTTTACAACTTTGATTTAAAGCTTTCGTGACTGCAGGGATTCATATTCTTGGTTCTTTCGGTAAAGTCACGTTGAAGGGAAACAATAAAATAATAATAAAATAAAAATATTTTATTGTTTCCCTTCTACGTGACTTTACCGAAAGAACTGTTAAGGTCAGTCAAGAAAAATGTATAAAAGTATTCATTCGTAACGCGGTAGTGGTTTTAAATGTTTGGTCTCAAGTTTAATATTAGACGGACGCGGCACGGGCTAGAGAAGAGATGGAGTGATGTGGTACAGGAGGCACTAGAGAAGAGATGGAGTGATGTGGTACAGGAGGCACGGGCTAGACAAGAGATGGAGTGATGTGGTACAGGAGGCACGGGCTAGAGAAGAGATGGAGTGATGTGGTACAGGAGGCACGGGGCTAGAGAAGAGATGGAGTGATGTGGTACAGGAGGCACGGGGCTAGAGAAGAGATGGAGTGATGTGGTACAGGAGGCACGGGCTAGAGAAGAGATGGAGTGATGTGGTACAGGAGGCACGGCTAGAGAAGAGATGGAGTGATGTGGTACAGGAGGCACGGGCTAGAGAAGAGATGGAGTGATGTGGTACAGGAGGCACGGGGCTAGAGAAGAGATGGAGTGATGTGGTACAGGAGGCACGGGCTAGAGAAGAGATGGAGTGATGTGGTACAGGAGGCACGGCTAGAGAAGAGATGGAGTGATGTGGTACAGGAGGCACGGGCTAGAGAAGAGATGGAGTGATGTGGTACAGGAGGCACGGGGCTAGAGAAGAGATGGAGTGATGTGGTACAGGAGGCACGGGCTAGAGAAGAGATGGAGTGATGTGGTACAGGAGGCACGGGCTAGAGAAGAGATGGAGTGATGTGGTACAGGAGGCACGGGCTAGTGAAGAGCTGGAGTGATGTGGTACAGGAGGCACGGGGCTAGAGAAAAGATGGAGTGATGTGATACAGGAGGCACGGGCTAGAGAAGAGATGGAGTGATGTGGTACAGGAGGCACGGGCTAGAGAAGAGATGGAATGATGTGGTACAGGAGGACGTGGAGCTGAGTGGACTTGCCGATGACTGGTACCAGCGGTGTCAAGATCGGCCTCTGTGGAGGAGGCTCGTGAAGGACGCTATTGGGATAGTGCCAGGCTAGGTGCACCTTAAGGCTACTGGGCAGTTGGAGGCAGTCGCCCTCCAACAACAACGGAGGGCGGAGGAGCGACGCTCACAACAACAAGCGGAGCGCCGGGTGGCTAAAGCACAGCAGGTTGGCACAGTGGGGGGCACAGGTGGTGCATCAGCCAGTCATCTCAGTCAGTCGACCCGTGGCACCTGGGTCTGCCCCGTGACCTCCTGCGCGCGGGCGTTCGACACTTCACGTGGTAGCCTCAAGGTGCACCTAGCCTGGCACAAGCGTCGTGGTGACGCCACCGCCACTTAGTGGCGAATGGCGGTTATTGTTGGTGTTAGACGAATCGGCGTCTTCGGATATGAAGCCCGTGCCCGTTGTGTGCTGAGTGTACGCGTGTGGCAATCGCCACGCTGGGTGGGGGAGGTGCCGTGACGTCATCCGCCGCGACAGCCCACAGTCTTCATGCGGGTGGAATCCGATGAGCTGTAAAGCTCTTTTTTTCTCTCGCAGATGTCCAGTTGTTTCCGCGGATATGTCCAGCGCCCTAACTCAAAACAAACTCAATAACTTTCTAGATTCGAAACTCAATAACACCAATGCATTTAAAGGAAATATTACCTAGTCAATTCTAAATAATTAAATTTGCTTCTTTTTAGTGAAAATAAAAGCGTGTGCTATTAAAAATCTTGCCTTTATTACCTATTTTGTTTAAAATAAATATTTAACTTGTCGGGGGTTGCGAGCTCCACGCGCACAGGGGTGTAACAGGGCATGCCCCCAGTCTCGATTTGGACGGATTTCGTGCTGGAATTAATTTGCGGCGTTCTGATGTGGAGGGCATCTCTGATCGCTATTGCTGACGAACCAAGCTGGAGGTCGGAAGCACGGCGCGTCTAGCACCAGGTGGAGTGTGTTGTCCTCCGCCCTCATCCGCAGCAAATGACCCCCAGATGGGATCCGGATCAGCGCATGATGCCCACACAGGTGCTGGCTCACATCTGGCTCTAGACGGTGGCCACCAGCAATGTCAGCGCCACCATGGCCACCACCACTTCTGGCAGTATGCAGGGCTCTGGAGCTGCTGATGAACGAGCGGAGCCGGAGCAGCCACCATCCTCCTCACCGCTCACCCAGGTCTCTGATGAGAGGACCGAGGTTGTGGATGAGGTAAAGGAGAAAGTGTTGAAGCAGGAGAAAATGGAGGAAGAAGCAGAGGAGGAAAAGATGAAGGAAGAGATGGTGTTGGTGGTGGACGAGGAGACGGAGGAAGAGGAGATGGAATTGGGATAAAAGATGGTGGTGGAGGTGGTGTGGCTGGGTGATCGCATGATTGCGTGTGTGTGATTGAGATTGAAAGTGTATGTGAGTGTCCGGCAAAAACAACCCCCGACCTCATTGGTGCCGGACGGTAATGCTGTGGTGAGCAGTGTAATGGGGGGAGGGCCAATTTCGATTGGCCATTTCCCTCATGACTTTTGTAGCCACCACAGTGGCCAAATGGTTGCTTTGGATCGGTGCGAGGGGCTGGTAACCCCTCCACATTCAATTGGCACTAAACCACAAATCTAATCTCTAACTAAGCTTGTGCGAGAGGCCCCGGGGGGGGGGGGGGGGGGGAGGCTGCTATGACGTCTTCTGGCCAAATCCCAATTGGTGTAGCCAGGAGACTGAAACCTGTACCCTCGGGGTTCCTTCAGAAATTGCAGTAAACCACTGTGAGTGGCCACTTGGAGGAGAGGCTGCCACTCCTCTGTTGGGAGGTGAACCGGTACCGCCTGGATCTCTGGCATTCAGGAGGTCTGGTGGACTGGTTCTGGCTCCAGGCACCATGAGCAGTGGATAGTCCTCTACTTGGTTGGCAGGAGACTGCCAAACAACATCACACACACTACAAGTACCACACACATAACCTTACCACACCACACACGGGACTAGCCCAAAAGCACAGCTGCCCCCAGCCTGGCTCCTTCCATGTTGATTTTCATCCCGGCAGTCCTCATGGGATGACCTCGCTCACAGTTTCCAGAACATGGAAGGGGGCAGCTGACCCAGGGTGTGGGAGCTGGAGGGGGTGTGGTGCAGACAATGGATGAAGCCTGCCTACCATATGCCACCCTGTTAAGAGGATCAATCAAGGTTATAATTTACACAGTTACACAGTTAATGAAATAACCCATGACTCCAAGTAACATTGCATTTTTTACGAGTGCTTCCTGGGTTAAATGTGCCTTATCTGTATTTTGATTTAGCATGCTGATCTTAAAGGTGCATTGAAAAATTTGATACTCCGACTGATGCTTCTGTTGTTGTGGAGTAACTTATGCAGCCAGTTATGGCTCTAGGATTTGGTGTTACATGTTATTTATGTAGTTTATTGTAAAAATTCGGTCACAGTCCCTATGATCACTGTTACGTTGCAATTATGGCTTTATTTTTTGGTGATTTCGAAAACGTTTTTTGGTTTGGACATGTTTGTCTTGTTGTAGTACGGAGTTAGACTGATGGCCTTAATCTAAGTTGTCTTGTGGTTGTTGTTGTTTGACTTGCATCCCACTGGTATTTTTTTGCACACAGCGTTGGTGTACGGTGCTTTTTTCAGGAATATTTTGCTGTTTGTTTCATGGATTTTCTGTTTGCACAGTCACATAGTCACTTTAAGATGTTTTCTTGTTCGTGTTTTTGTTTTTTTGTTTGTTGTGGTTGCACCCGATTCAAGAGCCGAATGGCTCACAGGGCTATACCAAAATAAATAAACTGAAAACTGAAACACCACCACCCTACCCAACCCCCTACCCAACCGCCTAACCCCCTACCCAACATGGCGATCCCGACCGTCTTCATCCCGTGTCACGTGACAGGGCCCTAGCCCCGCCCCCCCCCCGTGGCGTGATTGACAAGAGGACGATGTCTGCCGCTGCAGCTGCGGTGGCAATAGCGGCGGCGGGAGCGTGTCTCCTCGGTAAGTCACGACGATTACGACGACTAACGACGACATTTCACTCGCTAATTCCGTTGCTTATACATTTGAGGGGTTATCGTAGTACGGCGCCGTCGTGAGCTGTTTGTTTTGTGTGACGGTGGTTGTTTTGACTTTGTTATTCCCCTCAGTGCTGGCGAATGCGGGAGGCGAAATTGTCGAATTGACGTCAACGTGAGTTGATGGGGGGCGGTGGGGGGCGGTGGGGGTTTAAATGTTGTAATTCAATAAAAAAACACAGATTTTGGTTTGGTTTGTTTTTTTTACGAACTAACGTGACGGTGTCTCGTCTTAAACGTGGTCGGTTGGCTCGATTCGGTAGAGGCATCCGTGGCGCGAGTGGGATTCTGTTGACCGACGGGCGTTGTTTTTTTTTTTTACACCTCTTACACGGGGCTCAAGATCCTTGCGTCAATCCACTGCCGGACGAACCTTTAAATCGCACGTTCCGCGTGTGGGTTTGTGGGAGCGGTTACTTGGCCATACTTCACCACGCAGGTTGATGAACGATGCGGGAACGCGTGGACGGGGAGCGTAATGCGGTACACGACCAAAAAAAACAATGGGATATTGTTGCGCTGCGGATTGGCGTTATTTGTTGCTACGTTAGATTTGGTTTTTCTTTCGTATGTTTTAATTTTTGGCACCGTGTACCAAAAAAAAGCGTACTTTGTTGGCATTCTCAATTATCGGCAGCGTTAATTAACTGTGTTCTTGGTTCTTTTCTTGTTGTGGTTTTTTTCCACACCTGATGATGATTGCTTGTGTTGCAGTCGAAAACGTCGTGAGAATTTTATTGTTTTACATTTTTATTATTTTATTGTTTCCCTTCTACGTGACTGTACCGAAAGAACCAAGACTATGAATCCCTGCAGTCACGAAAGCTTTAAATTTAAAAAAAAATAATTAACTGGTTTAGTGTATTCGAAAACCAAGCGGATTTAAAACCTACATTTGACATACAGTACCGTCGTTACAAATACTGTGTCGTGCCGTACACTGCCGCCCTCTGCTGCTCACAAGTTAAACTGTAGCATGACATTTTTCATGAAACAAAATATTTAATGTTGGCACAGATTTTTTAATTCTGTACCCTGTGGTTACAAAGTGGTTAGGGGCTGTCCATAAATGACGTCACGCACCTAGGGGGGGGCGGGGTCAGACATTTGTGACGATGTGTGACGAGTGGGGGAGAGGTTTGAGAAATGTGACGTCACATCAAAATGCGCAACTTTAAATAAATATAGACAACACGTTCTGCTTAATTAAATAGACTTTTTAATACATGTTTTCTCCTACAATACCAGAGTGCAGCGCCACATTTAATACGCAGTACAATGACAATAGTTTAAAGCGATTTGAAGCATTTTTTATTTATTTGGGGGGGGGCAGAGCTTTGTGACGTCATATTTGAGGGGGGTCTGACTTTTTGTGACGCCGTGTGACGAGGGGGGGGGTCAACAATTGTTCAAAATCGCGTGACGTCATTTATGGACGGCCCCTTACAGTGTTTAAGCCATCGTGTCGGCGGGCGTTCTGTGCCAGTATAGATGCACGGTGTATTAATATTCAAGTGTTTAAAATGCCCCCCTTTCATTTCAGGTTACATGATCTGAGACAACAAGAACCCTGGCTTGTGAATGTAAGTTTCAGGATATCGAAGGAGCCACCACCTTCCTTGCGTTTTGAAAAAAATAATGTACAGCCCCTTTAGGCACTCTTAGATAAAAGTCGCCTCACCCATGTTCGTTACGAGGGTTGTTTAACCATACTTAGCCCATGCAGGTTGGTGTGGTTGGTTAAAGGTCAGACCGGTTTGGATACTACTTATCAATGATGTTCACCATGACCAAGAATCAGACTTGGGTCGCTGGTTCATCGTGTCGTGTGTTAGCCATTGTGCTACCTCTCCGCATTTGTTATCTTAATTTGATTTCGTTGTATTTTTTTATTTAACACTTTATTTAAGAGACGAGTGTAGACTCTTAGTACTGTTAAAAATGAGCCTCAGCTAAACACATTGATAAAAGGGATGATGGCCAATGACTTGAGGCTGGTGAATGGATAACAGCCAAAGGGAAAGAACAAATTTGAGAGGACAACCTCCTTGGATATGATATTATCTCATGTGTGGACAAGAGATGGATTGTGGCATACAGGTCCATGAAGGATGGCGGTGGGGATGCCTTAATATGGTGATGAATAGAACATACTACTACTGATGATAAACTTATAACTAGATGGGAGCCGACCGAGTCAAGTTCTTTTTGCAAGGAAGATCCATGCAAATAATATCGTGGTACAAAATGTTCGTGCAGAAGAACAACAAATCAAAAGAAGTTTAATGACTAATAAAACATTTACTTAGAAAACTAAAATAGCAACACATTGTTATTACTCTTCATCCATACGTGTTACATAGATTTTAACGTTTTAATGCTTGAATATGAAGCCAGCCAATTGGCTAAGGATAACAGTTCAATGGTGATTACATTTGGAGGCAGTTTCTTTAGTTGCCTGCATTTTGAAATGGTAAAAAAAATCTGCATTAATGATTTCCAATATATATTATTCAAAGGTATATAATAAAACATAGAGATAGAATGATAACAGTTATCCCTGGTCTAAACATTGAGGCCAGCAACGGATCCATGTTTGCACTGGGCAGGTGTTTTTATTTCGAGGACGGTGTATTCTGACATGGTTTTTTCTCTTTGCAGTTTTACGCACCATGGTGCAGCCATTGCAAAAAGCTGGACCCTGTTTGGAGGGACGTAGCATTGGGCTTACACGAGGCAGGCTCGCCTGTGCGAGTCGGAAAGATGGACGCCATCAAGCATTCATGTGAGCTCCTGTCATTGTAAAGCTTTAACTTGAACTTTCAGAGCTGGTTCCATCTAAGCCCAAGGGTCCATGGGTTGAGTGTGTATCCATTATCCACATCGACTAAATATGTGATGTGCCAACAGGGCTCAGTTTAACTCGGATGTTTCTTGCCTGGTTGTGGCCCACCCAGTGAATTTAACTTTTGGGGGCTGTATGTACCTCTGACCAGAATTTGAACTTGCAGCCTTCTGATTGTCGGTTGTGCACTGACCTCTGTGCCACCCGTGTTTATCTAAGGAACTGTTGGTGTGGCAAAATTTCTCCCTTTCCAGAAAACATGAAGCAGAGTAGGGTTGCACATACCTGAAATTCAGCACTTTGATGGCAAGGGTTGGTAAATCACATAGATTTGTGAAACTCCAAACCTACTCGACTATGAGGTGGCCAGAAGATGGCTGCACACCAAATGGGTTGTGAACCCATTGGTGTGGAACTTTTGAGTGTGAGCCCTTCATATGCATGGGTTTCCTCCATGAATTCCGAATCCTCCATCCATATGAAAAACATTTATGTGAAATTGGCCAAACAGCTCAATGCAGCAGGACCCTTCTGATAAAGTCTTGAGACTCTGTGAGGTCTAAATAAGTGACTTTAAAACGCAGAATTAATAATAGTGGTGGTAATGGTACACTTGTTACAGATCGTGACACTAAAATAATGTTGCTGTTGTGTTGCATTCTGAAGCCTTGGCTTCAGAGTTTGGAGCAAGAGGATTCCCAAGCATCAAACTGTGAGTGTGTGCTTCCCACTTGGTCATGAACGCGCTCCACATGGGATTTCCCCTTGGTCCTTTATAGCTCTGCATTAGTCACGCCACTCTGTGTACTCTTCGACAGTGGTAGACCACAAAACCTTGTGGTATTTAACATTGGACCCACTCTGTTAGCAAGCTCAAGAAGGGGTGGATTCCATTAATGGAGACAGTAAGCTGTCTCAAACTTAATGGGACTGTTCTTGGTTTATCAGAGATGGACAACTTACAGTGTAATTCCACATCAGTCAGCCTTTTCCATTCACCTATACAATATTGTCATGGAAAGATGGCACTTTGGATCATTTTAATTTCAAGTTGGCCGCAATTGCTTATAATTACTCATATATAACTATATTCAAACAAACACGTGCATACATATAATCTGTAAATATCCTGCAATTCGTGTATTCTCAATTAATAACTTAAACAGGAAATATCTCAGAAAATATACCAAACGGTTATATTTATAGCATCTACATCATACAGTGTTTGACACATTTGCCAGAGGTCCTTTCTGGAAAATGAGCCATCACTAAGCGATGAAGGAATCCAGTGATTACACGCCGACCATGTGGATGGCTGTCCGGGCACTCGGAGAGATTAAAAGCGACTCGAAGTGGTAATGCAGTGGGATTTGTGAGTGGAAGTTTTAAATAATGTAGACATCCGTTAAACAACCTGTGAATCCCTATGTAATCTCAACAGCTGTTGCCATTTAAGATGAAATCATCACTGAGTTCCGTAAACACCTGTGAAAAGGATATAACACAAACATAAAGTTTAAGCTTCACTTTATTCCAGCAGTGCTCAGATAAAGTGTTATCATGTCATGTTTCATAATACCTGAAAACTTGACATTATTTATGATCTGCAGTGCACAAACCATAACTACTTTAGAAGGTTCAATATGTTTTTACTTAAAATGATATGTTATTGTGGAATGACAGCTTGAACTCCTGGTTTGTTAAATGTATATGCCAATACTAACGTTAAATGACATACTGAATGTGAATGTACAAACCTTTTGTCAAACCACTGCTGGGTGATGGGTTTCACCACGCTGGTCAAGTGCCGATTAGTGAAGGTGAGAAGCATATACGTGGGGCATAGAAAGTACAATACAACAATGTATTTTGCTGTAATTCCTTCTGCTACCCATTACATAGCTCCGTAGTTGCCTCTATAATCAGGTGTGCATGGTGGTCACCCACCCAAGCTGTATACAAGCAGGAGCCTGCTTAGCTTCTGAGATCTGGTGATGCGGTCATAGGCTAGTTATACTGAATACGCCACGTAAAATGGCAGCATTGAACTGCTGCATGCATGCTGATGGTATGAAGGTCTCATTTCATTTGCTTATCGCCTGCTTATTCTACATACTCTACATACTCTTATTGTACAATTTATATTGTACAATTGAGAGCAAGTCTCCTTTCAAAAAGACAAAATTTTGTCTCTATAGACTCTTATCCTGCTCATATATGAAAGTTATTGAGGAATGTTACCATGAACAAATACTGACACACAAAGGCATACATTTTCCACAGCCGTTAGAGAATCTTACAAATCTGTAAAACAAACGGTAAGGTGATGCTTCTGATATATTATCAAGGGGACTTTTAGACGGCTGGCAGAGTACATTCCCACATGGGTTTACATAGCGTAAACCCACTCAAGTGCACCAGCCCTCCAGAATACGATGCCACGAATAACGTCACTTAGGGAAAGATAACCACATCTTAAGGGCAGCAGGGCTCCTTGGCGTCAGTGCTTGAATGCCTTTCTGTTATTTATTTTTCCACCGCTCCTAGACAGATAAAACTGTCCTTGTGCCCATTCCATTGGGGTTCATGGTCCAATTTCCTTGAATCGTTGGGTACAGTATTTTGGATTAGCAACCTATTGGCCTATTCATATACAAATTGGAAAAAATTGACGTTACATATTTGGGCTTAAAGATGAAGCATCTTAACGAGTCATATGTCTAATGTTAATTCAAAGTAAGAGTGTAACGATTTGACCATTTTACACTTCAGAGCATTATCATTTGATATGACTCGATTATTTTTAACTTGTGGTAAATGTACCAGCTTTAATACCTAAAGGGATCACATGAACCCATTACATACACCTTATACGACTTAATAAACAATACCTCAGCAGTTTTATGGACGTTGTGTGCTTAGGAGTTTATATTAATCAATGAACACCTATTATTAAAAGTGTTTCAGCACCAATATAAATCATTCAGGATTCTCATTACACAAATACATAATTGTAAAGTAGTTAATTGTTTGTTTTCTTTGCCAGGATAAAGGGTGACTTGGCCTATAACTACAGAGGGCCACACAGCAAAGAGAAGATTATAGAATTTGCCAACAGAGTGTCTGGGTAAGTTATGCCCAAAAAAGCCAAGCGTTTTACATTTTATTTGAATTGCAATCACACTTTTACGCAAGGTCAGGCTTACTGATTCAATGATGTTCTGAAAAATGTTCATAGCATTAATTATGCTGCTCATCATAATCGGTCATGATATATCCACTGCTGGATGAAGGCCTCTGCACATCACCGTAATGTATCGCTTCTGCACATTAGTAACTCTCATTGCTCCATCTTTGTGGTTGTTACATTCCTGGGTGTGTTTTACCTCCTTTTGATATAATTCCATCACCAATCTGATCCATCGGCCCTAATCCCTTCAAACGATATGTCGTACCAAAGCCCACTTTTCTTAACAGTCGATATGTCTTCACTTTGTGTTCTCTGATCCATATGTTCCTCTTTTTGTCTCAATGTAATTTCAAGTGTGTACGTCCTCATGGTTTTTGTATACTTTTTAGTGTTTGATCCATGGTCTGTGTAAATAACAGGCCAAACAATAAAAACATCTAACCATTAAGCTCACTGAAATTATCTAGTTAGCATTCCTGATTGGTGAGGGTTTGACACAGCTAAAGGCAACCCAAAGGTTTGTTTATTTCCCTTGTTTGCAGTCTTAAAAAAGTCTATTCTATTTCCGTTTTATATGGCGCCAATGCATTGATTCTCATGATGTTGATGCTCCTAATCAAGATTTGTCAAGCATGTGTAGTGACGCAGTTCGGAGACAGAAATACTTGGAGGCACCTTCCTTTATTCTCGCACACAATCGGGACTCTCCACACCCTACGTGGGTGCACACTATTTTACAGGTATTATATACACAACCGTCTATTGTCGGCGGCACTATCTAGCTGGAACAGTTGGCAGGCTGTCTAACTAGCGGCGCCCCGTGATGGTGAAGACGGCGGCAACGATGGTGGACGAACAGCAGCACGGCGAGGGGATCCACTTCCAGTAACAGCCCCGAGCCCTCGCTCAGGGCTCCCTCTTATGCTGCCAGCGTGGCCTTGCTCCGCCCTGGCCCCGCCCCCTTCTGGAACCTACTAGCAGGTTCCCGGGGCTTCCAGATGGACCCCTGAATGAACTTCCCCTTAGTTGTCTTTTCCCCCGTATATACTGTCGCCTGCTGACGTGTGTACTGCCATACACTGCAGGTACCACTTTCCGTCAGCAGCCGGCGCTATTACTCTACACATGTGATATACACAATGCAATAGATATGCACCATGTGGGAGAACATCCCGAAATTGTTGCGTGTGTTTTGTTGTCTAAAATATGTTCTCCCATGTAAGAACAATTTGTTTTGTCTCTTCAGGCCAACTGTGCTTTCCCTGTCTAGCCCTGAAGCATTTGAGAAAGCACAGAAGGCCCACGACACGTGTTTTGTATATGTGGGTGGAGAGTCTCCATTGAAGGTAAACCACTCTCCAAATGAGAATATTATCCTTATGTATGCTTGTGAGTGTGTCTTTTGGGGAGCGTTAGTGCAACGGTTAGCGTGCCGCGCTACAAGCCCGGCGACCAGAGTTCAATTCCCGCTCATGGCCATCACCAGTGACGATTATCTGAACCGGTTCTGGGCCTCCCCTAGATTGACTCAGCCTAAAATGAGTACCTGGTGCTGTGTGTAAACATCACCACTGGGGAGACAAAAGCGGCCAGGCATGGTGTTGGCCACCCACTCACCCCCATCATAGGTGCTACTCACTAATAACACTTGCCCCAAAAGTCTTCTAAGGCTATACGTGGGATTTTTGTCTTTGTTTGTCTATGCTTAAATATATATACGGAAATGTACCAAAAATGGACATGGTAGAGCTATTAAGGTATATTTTGGAATTCAAGAGGTAACGTCACGGTGCCTCTGACCCAATTTGTTTATTGTTCCATTCTGCCGTTCAGGAGAAATACCTTGAAGTTGCCACCGAATTGATCGTCTACACATACTTCTATTCTGCAACCAAGGAAGCACTTCCTGAGGTCAGAGCACGTTAGTGTTGTGTATAAACTGCATGCTAAAATTAACTCAATCGAACTTCGAGAGTTAATTCGTTCATTTCTACCGTATTTATAGTTTACACAAGTGTACTGGTTGATAACTACAACATGAACAATAGAATTGTGCCACAGTTCAGTTTGTGATATCTTGAATTATTTCATTTCAAATGTGTTGCTAAATTTGGTTGTGCATTATAACAAGCAATTTTTAATGTACTGATGAGTAGAGGCTAATAGGGTGCAAATGACAGTACCAGTATGGTGTGTCTCTGTTTCAATAGGACGTAGTTCTGTACGAGCTGCCGGCTGTTCTTGCATTCAAGGATGAAACATTTTACGTCTTCGATGGTACATTTACAGCTCATGCAAGAGTACAAGACTCATTGCACCTCTTAATTTATTTTAATTGCTCAACATCCCTGCATTTCTATAGCATGATGTTGTTTCCCATCACACTATATCTACAATCACAATCCACTCTTGTATAATTCCACTCTGGTGTATCCGCAGTCATCCCATGATGTCCCATATCCCACCCCATCCCATTACATTATTTCCCGTCCCTTTCCTTTGAAGCCCCATGCCTTTTAAAATGCAGTCCACAGCCTTGTGTTTTAAGAATGGGGTCAGTGGCACTGCGGATGTGCCAGGTCATGTAGCCAACATAATGGTTGTTTGTGCTGTATCTCAGGGGTTCCCCACATGTGGCATGCAGCCCCTCTCGAGGCTCCCAGAATGCCCAAGAGGTTTCCCGGATTGGCCATCATGAAAGGCTCTGCTTAACCGTTCTGTAGCGTTTAGCCGCCTGTTTGTGCACATTGTCTGCCAATAAAAGTTTGATAACCCGTGTTTTAACACTCAAGAATAACAAACTATAACCAAAGATAAATTAAGTAGTAATCTAAATACATTATGCTCAACATAAACTTGCTTTGTCCCTATAATGCAATGTAAAAACAGAGGCCCTGTGTTGAGGGACATATTGTGTTACTGCTTTAACAAGTGGATCCTCATCAATTACCCAGCCACAGCTGTTGTGTGACTTTTGCAAACGCCAAGAGTAGATCACTCATTTGTATGAACAGACCTACACTTCTGTTGCCACTTAATTCCCAACAGTAATTAACCCTTGACCGTATAGCTTTCCAGGAACCACATGGCCAATCGCCATCTAAATCACAGCTACTGGAACTCGTGTAGGATGGATGACATGATTGGTTAGCTCTGGAAGATGGGAGAATAGAATAGAATGAATCCAAGTTAATTTTGGAGTGAAAATTTGAGTTTATTGTACTTACCTCTAAAAATGAAATGTGTCATCGTAAGACTAAAATTAGGTTTTATTTTTAAATGAGATCGAATTTGAATCGCTGAGATGGCCGCAGTCTGACACTGGGAGGCGCTGTTTGTACAAAGTTATTGAGAACAGACGTCTTTTTCTGCAGCAAATGCACTTGTGTCTAGATACAGTAATTAAGACATTCATTCGCTTTTCCATATTTAGCAAAGAAACACATTTAAACTGCATGATCCGCAGAGTTGCATTTTACTTATACTGTACTGAGAGTAGACATTCTAGTCTTTTTGTCAGTTAACTTTTTTTTGTACTTTGTTCAATCCAATTGGAAGAGAATCAATTACTCAAAGACCAAATCTTTTATATAGTAAATTTATGGGCTGAATTGGAATTTTTCCTGTTTCTGAGAAATATGCATTTAAACACCCACTTTATTTCACAAACACTTTTTTGCATCAACAACACGGTTTCAGACATTACATCCTTTTGAAAAAAAGCCTTCACGTTTATACGTTAGAATAGACATCATCCTTCGGACCCCACATAACCTATGGCATGCAGAGCTCCCTTTTTAAATGGCATATCTCAACACAAACTGAAGCGCCAGCAGATGTGGCTAAGATAATTATGGAGCCTTAAGTTAATTATGGACTCTGACACCTGTTCGGGTTAAGAAGCTGGAGAGATCTTGAAGCAGAGGGACGTGAGGGTTATTGAGAGGTCATATTGTCCACTGAAGTCCCATAGACATTTAATTGCAAAGCACTCAAAATTATATAAGAAACTGAGGCTTACCTGTTGTGTTTGTCATGAAACAATCTCTAAAGACTCTTATTTTGAAGTAATTTAAAGTGTTTTTTGCATGAAACCAAAAATACAGATGATTTATTTTCATTGGTATTTAATAGGATAAATTATTGAAAACGTGTCATTGTATGTACTCCTAAAAGGCCAAATATGATACATATGGCTTAAACATTGTTGCTTTTAGGTCATGTTTTCAATTGTTTTGTTGTGGTTTTTAAATGTTTTTCAGATTTAGCAGTCAAGTTGGAAGTTTTTTTTTAAGGTGGTCTCAAATCTGTATACGTTATAACACAGCGCGTAGTTTTTAGTTGCTGCAATGGTAGTCATTACCAAAGTGTTTTTCAAGCTATACATGTTATAGAAGTTTGGTTCAGTACATTTCAACCATTACCTTGATACAACTCTTGTGCATTTTTCATGCAGACGTAAAACCTAATTAATAGCATGTACTTTCTTGAATACAAAAAATATCTCCTGGAAAAATGAAAAGCCTCTCCAATCATAAAAATTGTAGGAAATTCCTGCACAAAATATATAAGATTGAGAAATCCTGAAGGAAATTGCAGCCTTCTCAGGATTACTGAAATACCGCTCTGGAATGTGTTACTTTGAACAAAATTGCATCAAAGTTAATGGCCTTCCAAAACTTTGCTGAACCAACTTAACTGCATAAACATCCCCATTGCTTTCTCCTTAGTTTCTTGGTACTTGAATGTTTTTATATTCACATTTGTTGGTGATCAATTGGTGACATTTCAAAAATTTTGGGAGCAAGTATAACATACTTTGGCTGCAAGTGGCCAGCTGGCCTAAGGTCAGGGGACTGAGTCAGCACCAGTTCCTGGGTTGGGAACCAGGCAGCAACAAGTGTAGTGCCATTGATGGTCGCTGATAACTATATCACATGAAATTTGATATTCAACTTGATTTGGCAAAATTTTCAACTCGGAGTGAATATAAATACTTTTGGGATTGACTTTCATGCGACAATATAGCAGAGTTTGTAGGGAAGTGCACCCCTACTGTGTAATTTTGATGTATATAAAAGCCATTGGAAGGATTTTTCTGAATTTCTGTGAAAATAATCTCTTGCCCATGCATTCTCTGATACAAAAGGAATTATTACTCCTTGCATTTTAATTGATTATTCATCTTATAAATTAGATAAACAACACAATTGTAATTGCTTGAAAAGAAATTGAAAAAATATACTTTTGTTACCACTACAGAGTTTGAAGACGGAAGCTTGGAGGAGTGGGTGAACAGGGAGAGGTTCCCAGAATTCCTGTTCATCGACAGTATCACTCTGCATGACCTGGCTGACACAGGTACACGGGTGCATTTTTTGGCATCGAGCCCAGGGGGATAGATCTACTGACAAGGGGGCTTGTGTATTTTCAGCTGCTACAGTCTAGGTGAGCAGAGAGGCCATGAGCGGAATGAGTCTTAGGATGGGTCAATGCAGTCATGCCCTAACCTAACGCATTGTGATAATGTGTATTTCCTGTAACATTTCAAGTGTAAACTTAAGATATGGTTGTTCAGTCTCATTGCAGGCAACAATGCACACACTGACCGTCTGATGGGGTTGACTCAACAAATAATAAATACATTTCAAAGTATTTATTGTATTCATCAATTCACCACAAAATGACAGTAAATGGAGCTTGGTTTGCATGTATGTTATGATTCACCTTATGATTTTAACAGAGTGATGTGAATGATCATTTTTATTTCTTGCAGGAAAATCATTGGTCCTTGCAGTCTTGAGTGGAACTAACATTAAACATGACAACAGGTAAAATTTTACCACTTAATGTTAAGCAGCAGTGTAAGGATTAATCGATTCATTAATTAAAAGTGATTCCTAAGCTCACAGTGCATGCACATTTTCACAATAGAGATGTAAATACGGGCATCCCTCAATATACAAAACAGTTACGTTCCTGAAAAGTTGTCTGCAAAGCGAAATTCCATATATAAACCCTATTTTCCCATTGACTTCCATTATAATATTGGAGATGCGTTCCTACGGATAAAGTGTCGGCCACAAGATTAAATAAAATCGCTCTTAAGAATGAGCAAACCTTTTGAGAGCACATTTAATGGAAAATCGATCATTATATAGTGAAATGTTACTACTAATAATTATCTAAATAAGTCGCTAAATAAAAAAATATACTCTACAGTAATTACCGGAAACGGTGGTGTTAAGTGTTGCAGGGTGATAATTGCTTCACGGTCTCTTTTTGAGTAGACGTGCTACCGACAAGCAACTATTGGCCTCACCTGATGTAATGATGCGTTAATGTTGTTTGAAACAGGCTGAAATATATGGTGGAAGAAGTGTCAAAAAATTACAGGAGGAACTTTCACAAGTGAGTCACAGAGACACTGCGCTCAACATGCTCCTTGACAATGAACAGATTTACACTTACCTCGACCACTCCATACCCTACTCCACTGGGTCTCAATATACAGGGGAGGGGCGCTTGACACACGGTCTCATCTGTTGACTGGCTCTTTCATGCATTGTCATCTTATCCGCACACTCCCTGTTGAACATCTTCGAATCCTGACTCTCCACCGCCTTCCCCCCCCCCATATGCCACTGCAGGCAATTTCAGTTCGGATACACAGATGGCAACATTCACATCAATGACCTGATCATGAGGTAAGGCCAACCACAACATACGATGTAACAGTAAGCTCACAAAGTAAATGTAAACCAAAGTCCTAATTCCATCCAGGCCCAATCGCATGGTGGAAATGTTTATGACAAACATGTGATTGCGATAAAAAACACACAAAACACATGTTTGTAGATGAGGCTTGACGGAAAACACAAAAAAATGGTACCTCTGTCCCCTCCTCTCCTCTTCCCATGTGGTCGCAAGCGTGGTGGACGTCCCAAGCGTGATTCTTGTGAACACCTCGTCCCAGCAGTTCTTTTTGCCCGAGGGTGACCTCCGCTCCGCCAAGGACCTCTTCACCTTCATCACTAGCAACCTGGCTGGGAAACTGGAGGTCAGACCTCTGGTGGAAGCGTCTCTCCTAGCACTAAACCAAGATAAAGTAGGTCATTGGGTGCTGGGGGACAGGCTTGGGTAATTACTTGCAATCAATAAACGACCGCTTTGTCCTTCAATAAGCACTTGGCATGGCTAAACTCCACTGCAGTGAGCTCTGGGGGACTGGTTGGTGTGGGGACAAAAACTGCCAAAGGGAGAACTTGAGATAAGGATGATTATGGTGACAATTACTGTTTTCGTCATATTTATAGCATCTAGTAGAATGTGAAGTTAACATGGCGGTGTTAGTGCTGCACCTGTGGTGTTCTCTCACCCTGTGCATCACCTTTTTACCCCACATTCACCTCTCAGCCTGACTTTTAAAAAATCTTTGCTTCCACATCTCTATAAGTTGCCCCCCCCCACCTCTACCACCCCTTCCCCCCATCAGATGTTCCTCATGCTGCTCAGGGTGAGAGTATTTGGGCAAAACATGACCGAGTGGCTCGGAACACTAAAAAAAACACAGGAAAGGCACGCCTTTTTCACGCGACCCTAACAATGTGACATCAATCAGTGCGGCTGCCCTCCCCTACGCCGCTTAGCTGTTGACAGCTCTGTGTGTTTTGTAGGGGTGAAGTGCTAGAGGAAGAGAAACAACTTGGATTCATTTTTTTTTCACAGCGAGTTAATTTGCCCTGTCCAGCATCATTTGAAATGTAGATTTCGTGTGTATTTGATTATGCTGTGTACATGTGTAAGCGTATGTAAAAACCCTTGACTCTTCAATTGATAAACCTCAACAGCAGTCTGGTGATCCCTCTTATCTTTGTTACATTCCAATATGTAGAAGGATATATAAAGCGCTTGCTTACAGCACTTGCATCAACTGTTATTTCCAGGCTATGGGGAAAATATTGTTTTGTTAAGACTTGTGCATAGTATGCACATGTGTTAGAGGAATGAAAATGGTTCATTACCATTTTGGTTTTCATAGCCAGTTAATTTTCTTCATCGTTAAAATGTAGATGTACAGCAATGTGTATGTATAACATACATATGTGCCCTCTAATGAGCCTTACACTTGTAACGCTTGGAAGCACATGGACATATTAACCTTATGGCGAGACCCCAGGGTCCCGAGTAAATAGAAGTAAAAATCGTAATTAATTAATTGAATTTTGACGACTCCGTCCCACCGCGCACATAAACACCGCGACCCACCTGGCGCGGATCATTCCGTTGTCATGTCGTCCAAGCACAGCGAGGACGAATGCGCAGAGCTGAACAAGCGAATGCACTCCATGCTCGGGTATGGGCAGGATCATAACAAGTCTTATCCGAAGCTGCTCAAACTGCCCACACCACTTAAGTCCTATGCATAAAACAGTGAAACTGCTCCCTTCTCTTCATTATTATTTGTGACCTACCAATGTCTGCAGCCAGGATCAATCGATGACAATCCTATTACCTGCAGATATTTAACAGTTGAGATGCGTTGCCCCGTTAATTCCTCCTGTTTGATAATACTTCTCTTGTCCGTATGCATCTGTGAAGATGGGGTTTTTTTGCGGTTAAGCTATAGCCCCCACATACCGCTCATATGAATCTAGATAAGAGGAGCGGCGACCCACTACTCTGTAGAGTAACATTGGTATAAACGTTTGTTATAATATGAACAGCGCATTGAAAACGCATTCTATTTTATGTACTGTTTACAAAGTGTGTTCACAAATCCACACTGAGAAACACGATGATTGACAGAGGGATGTTAAAAATGTTTTTGATAGTGTATTTAAATAGAGGTACTGCAGGTAAGTAGTTTTCAGTTTTAAAGGCATAGTTTAACAAGACAACACTTGCCACCATCCTTCAAACCCGTTGGTGAAAAAGAGCAAAGTTTTTATTTACATTATAATATAATGTTTATGCGAGAGCAGGGGGCTTATGGGACCCGGGGTCCCACCATAAGGTTCATATGTGTTCTTATGTCCAACTCTTCCATAGGCTCACGGAGGGAACAGTCCCTACTTTCGAATGAAGAGGCTGCTCTACGACGCTTCCACGGTGATATCGGTGAGAGATTGACGCTCACGGCAACTGGAAACCGAGGAGTTCCGTTACATCTAGGCTATTCATTCTGCTTAATCCTGAGCACCTTTTTAACCGGACTCCGTTAAAGTTGGTATTAACCTGTGCGACCTCAGTTCCGCGATCATGGCGAAGTAATTTAACACATGCTTATCCTGTCTTTCAAGCAGTCTTTTTCTGGGGTTTTCAAACAACACAACTTCAAGGCGATAAACATGCCGGTCAAAAACATGCTGTGTGCTTATTACAAAGCACTGCTTTATTTTTACGTGACCAATTGTTGTAAAGATGTTTCTAAATTCACAAGTTATCATTTGATGCTGCAGACAAATGGTCTTGCAAAAGAAGGAAAGTCATTCATTTGATACATCGTTGTGAGTACTGTTGATGCAACCTCACAGGAGCGTATTTACCGTTGTGTAAAATACTGAATTTGAAGTATGTCAATAGACTTTGTCAAAATAAATTCAGAATTTTGCTTAATAAGCCAGCGGAACATATAAATTGTTACTGCCTGCAAAAAAAATAGTCCAAGATGAGGGGTTTGACATCCATCTCACACCCCATGTGGTTAAGAATAGAAATTAATCATGCGTATTCTATCGCACTTTTAAAAGTAACCTTGATTTATTACATTAATTTATACTGAAAATATGCAGTGAAATACCAAGCATCTAAATGAAACTACGTCTCAAAATGCTGTTGTCTCTCACAATGACAAAAGGACAATTATGTTAACGTACACAGAGATCCTTTTTTCAATCCATTGCTGGGTGAAGGCCTCCCTACGCCATTGGTCAGTGTGGGTTGAAGGTGGAAAACATTGATATGGAGTAAAGTACACAGTTTAGTACAACTGGATTTTATTGCACTGCGCTCCACTGCCCACAACACACTCCTGCAAGAGCCAATAACACGTTGCATGGTGCTCGCCCAACCCTGCTTAGCTTCTAAAATTTGATGACATCGGGCACATTCTGGACGATTTCTTCATCAGCAATTATGGCAGCAGGTGTGTAGATAACATACGTCACCTGTTAAGTACAATTAAATACAGTGGTACCCCGGAGATCGAGCTTAATTCGTTCCAGAAGGCCATTCGAACACCGATTTGTTCGAACACCGAATTAATTTTCCCATAAGAATTAATGTAAATGACATTAATTGGTTCCAGACAAAAGAAATCTCAGAAAGCATTTTTACACGAAGTTTACAGTAATTACATGCATAAAATCATACAAAAAAACAAGAAACACAATAAATAAATGTAATAAATGAAAAAATATATGGAATAAATTAAATAAATGAACATTAAACTTCACTTTACTTGTAGTAAGGAGAGTTGATGGCTTGAGTGGAAGGTGGTGAGGAGGAGGTGGTGTTTTTGTTTGGAAGGGGAGTCCCCTTCCATAATAACGTCGGGTAACTGCCCTTCTGGGGTTCTTTCTCTTTTCTGCCACTAACTGTGAGTCACTTGAGCTCTTTCTGACTAAAATAAAGGAAATTAACGAAAAAGTTAAGGAACGATGTTTTGCGGGTCTGCACTGGGTGAGAGCTACGCGTTAACTGAGCTTCTCACACGGTAAAACCTTTGTCTGGGCAAGCGTCATGCACGCTGCTGGCCATACGCGTCTCAGCCGTACAGGTTCGCGATTGCCCATTCGACCTCCGAATTTCGTTCGGTTTCCGGGGCAAAAAATGTTCGGAAATATCGTTCAAACACCGATTTGTTCGAGTTCTGGTGCGTTCGATCTCCGAGGTTCTACTGTATTTGTATCACTTGTCTTGTGTACCAGCATGGCTTAACTGCGTGCTGCTGATGCTTGCAGGCTGTGTTCCAGCAGTCTGTGCTGCTTGGCCTCTTCCTGTACGGCACGCCCGTGGTGGTCTTCACCCTCATCTGCTACAGCCGCTTGTGGGTCCGTGGCCACCCTCTTCCTCGACCGGCATCGTCGCGTGACAGACAGGTGGCTGGCGACGGCGACGGGGATGATGGTGATGGCACCGTGGTGATGGCGGGGAACGCGTGGAAGAGTGCCCGGGGTGGCGGGGACGGGCTGCGTCTCAGAAAGACGGGTGGTGTTGATGGCGACGGTGACGAGGTGGCGGCTTTGAAGCAGCATCTCGCATGCGAACCGAGCGGCACGGGAGAACAAGATGCCACATTCACGGATGAGGAAGAAGTGGACGAGGACATGGATGATGACGACGATGACGACGACGACGAGAGCTATACTGGATCTGACGACGATGACGACGAGGATGAAGATGACGGCTATGATGATGGTGGCAATGTGGGCTGCGAGGAGGATAAGGACAGGAATGTGCACAGGTTGGTGCTTCAGGGGCCACCGAGGCCTCTGGTTGAAACAGCAGTCATCATGCATGAAAACGAGAGTAATGTTGACTAGCGGGACTTCGCAACTGTTGTGCTCTCCAGGCGTTTTAATTTATGGAGGTGAAAATGTGTGCTCGTTTGTCATAGCATGCTAGCGCGTCAACAACATGCTGTTCATCCAGGTGAAATGCATGCGGGTTTTTTTGTTAAACTCATTTTTTAGAGGTTGGTGGACGCTTTGCATGCAGTTGTTGCAATTAAATAACGTAACGGTGGTTTATAAACTGTTAAATTTACATGGGTAAAGTTGAGGTCACTCTGGTTTGTTAATGCCAATCAATATTTGCCTTGTGTAGCACTGCAACATTACGCTATAGTGTTATTTCTATGATGACTCATGTGTTGAAGGCCACAGCTATGCATGATTTTATAGAAATGGAATCTTCAGAGTGCACCCTTAAATCGACCTGAAAAACAGGTGTTTAGAGCTCTGCATTGCATTTGAATTATGTACTCTATATTATTTATGCTATTTATTGAAATTAAATTAATGCTTTTTAAGCGTAGCTGTTGACTGCTCTGTTTTAGCGTGTTTGTCTTAAAATTAATTTAAATGTTTAATCTGGGATGAAACTTTGTTACATAATGTATATGGCTTATTCTATAAACAGACATGAATAGAGATATTGGCATGATCTGTGCATACTTACAGAGTAATGTTTATAACTCATGAACTATATTCCAATCGCTTGGCAAAATTACAATTCTGTAGATTATGTAAACACTTGTCCCTTTTCCGTTTTAATGTGGCAATCTTATTAGGCAGCAATCTACCATTACCTCAATGGTGCCACCCATAAATAAAAGCAAGCTGTGCTGTGGGCACCAAAAACTCACTCTCGTAAGTCTACCCGGAGCAACGCACAGCTATAAATTGCTGGCCAAGAGCTCGTAGCAACTAGTTCTCTCTACTGCAAGCAAATTTAGAATAGATGCACTCCAATGTTCAGCCCAATTGTCCCTTGAGGCTGCGCTGTGAATGTTATTGCGCAAGTCGCGAAAGTGTCTTTCCGTGTAGGTTTTTGATGTTGGGAGTTGGAAGGCTTCTGTGGAAAATATTACGGCTGGGTTCGAATTAACGAGCCAGCTCTGCTACTCCAAGCACTTTTTTGTAGCGTCTTAATAGTGATTATATTCACTCCCCCCCCCCTCTGCGCCACGTTAGATGTGTTTATATTTGCAAGTATTACAAAAAATGGCTCTGAATACTGACCAATTTTTTGGCACGTCAAACTCTTAGGAATTTCTCTATTCAGCATTCCAGATGGTAAAAATAATTAACCTTCAAATAAATGTAAACGTAATAGATTGATTAGAAAGTAATGCACTGTACTTATAGTTCATATAGGAATTTTTTGGGGTAGAAACAGCCAAATGTGACCATTTGCATCTTGACCATTATTGGTGTCCGTGACAGGGACCTGTTTAGATGCATTTTGAAGATATATCAGTCGTAAAATTGAATCAATAACGTATTTAGACACTGTAACCGAGCAGCCAGCTGTCATGGCAAGTGTAAATTGCCTTATATTTGTGAATTAGCAAGCCAGGTCAAGCTAAGCAGATATTAGCGTTCAGCTTTATTTGGGGACCGCATTATCATGAAAAAGTATATTTTTCCATCCTGCATAATTGATGGGACCTGCGTTTATTTTATTGAAATGTATATTTAAAAAATACTCCACTTCATACACAATACCCCAACAGCACAATTAAACATCTGCAGCTCAGGCAGGAGAAAGCTTCCTTCAGGACACCGCTAATGCCGATATCGGACCAGACTCAAATTATTTTAAAAGCCATGGGACTGGAGGTAGTAGTGACTGGGTAGCCGGTCGAGTATTGTATATTATTTCAACTACTGTCCACTTCCCAATTTTATTGTAATTGTGCTGTTTGTGTCATATCACGATTTTCCACATCGATGAGAACAGACCATATGTTACAATTTGGCCTGCGCAAGTTTTCGTGGAAATCTTGAGGTCGCTTCAAGTGACTTCTTTTAATTCACACAATAGGGGTGGACTTTCCCGTATGCCCTGGTATGGATAAATGTTCTTCGCATGAAAGTCAAATCTATATTTTAAAAATACCTAAAAGATGGTATTTAGTAAATTAATTCGGATAGGGTACAGAAAGAAACATGTCTTGGGGTATTTTCGTGCAGTCATTATTACCGGGACGAGCCCTTCGGCTGGGCTACAGTTAATAATCCGGTTTAATCACAAGTGCCAGTGTGAATTTTAATCCAGGACCTCATTAAGTGCGAGCTGAGCTCTTGTACCCCTGAGCCTCCCCGTCTACCTTCTCCATTTAACGATATTGAGTGTTTTTTTCCCACATATAGTAATGTTATTGGGCAATCACTGGAGTAGAAAAATGTAGATTAATTTTAATTATGTCATATGACCGAATAAAAAATGTAATATTTCCATTGAAATAGCGCAAGTATCTGAATAAGCCATCAAGAGTGCGTACGTGCCAATTTTTGGGATGGGTTTGCGGTGTTCCTTTTTTAAAACTGATTTATTTTGGAGATGTTGACAAGTGCATCCCAGTAAGCTCATTCGGCCATTTTAATACTGTGTCCGGAATTGTACTCGTGTATGCTTTGTGTATTATGTGCCGCAGGGTGTCCCACCATCCAGACAGTGGCTCGCAATACCTTCCAGTCTGTGCCCTGTAGTATAGACATTTGGAAACGCTGCAGACAAAGCACAGCTTTGTCCTCTCCACTTTAGTGCAAAATCTACAGTGAAATGACGGCAAGTCGTTGTTTGGATTCCACCTTCAAACAAGCATTCCCTGGGGCTAGCTCATGCGAGAAGGCCCCACGCGGTGGAAACGGTACAAGCCTTGGTAAATACACTCGGAGAGGAGGAGATGGAGCACATTGGCACACAGCCGCCACCAACCACCTTCAGCCCCGCATTGTAACGTTTCCCAAACACTAATCAGGGGAGGTTTGTCAGCCGAGGATAAACAGCGAGTGGCCTCAGAAGAGCATCTGTCTCAGAGAGAGGAACCCGCTCAGATCGTTTTTTATCTGCAAGCATTGCCGGAGCCCGTGTCGCCGCGGAGACAAATTAAGACACGCTCGGTTTCCATGTGTTGCAAGACCGTTTCTTTTTTGGCATTATGGCTTTCTGTAAAGGTCTTTTTCTTTGCAGGGTGGGGGGGGGGGGGGTACACACAGAGTCACATTGAACGTTATGTTGTATCTTAAGCTAACCCGAAAGTGTTTTTTTCGCATTCTCAGGAACTGCACGAAAATTGGTTAACGGTTTGCCGTGAACATCAATCAATCTTTATCTTATGTGCCAATATCGCCTTCAATAAAGTAGGCGTCGGTGCTGCACATTATAGCAAAACGGGAGCGGTTCAGAGGCATTAAACCCATGAAGACCTCAGCGGCTAACATATATGTCTTTCAGAGAACATAACATATTTACATATTAAACTGAGAAATTAAGGGATCTTCCGTGGTGTAATAGTTTGCACACTGGACTCCCAGTTGCAATCCAGGTGTCGCCGGTTTGATTCCATCTCATGGTGTAAGTTTCTTAATTCCTCCTGGCTTCCGTCCACCCCATCAGTATAAACGGGTACAACACAGTTGATCGGCAGATCGTGTGGCTGTGGTAGCGTGTGGGTTCAAACTCCTCCAAGACGTCTGGCCAGGTTAGAAGAGTAGGCCAAATACAATCTACAGAGGATCACTAGAACTCCCTCGAATGGAGGTTCTGCAGGCGGTGTGCGTGAGCAATTTATTTCAGGGATGCACTTACATGCACTTTTGTCAATGTACACATTGTGGGCAAAAATCAACAACATAAAAGTCCACTGTGTATATACATGTTGCATAACAGACAAAAACACGTGTGGAAAAGTGCTCAATCTCTGCAACCCTAATAGCTGCTGATTCATCCTTTTGAGTCCCGGGAGTCCGGACATGTGTCAAACTACAAAAGGCAATGTCAGCATTACAGTGTTCATATTTTCAAGAAGTGTAAAAGACAAGAAGAAACGGAAGACATCGCTCTTGTGACAAACAAGAAGAAAACTGTCTGGGAGACGGCAGCCTTTGAACTCTACAGGCTGGTAACCGACCTACTTAAGGGGGAAATCAGAGACAGCTGGGGTAGAACGTTTAAGACATGTGGCACAAGCCCCAAACACAATGCCACCGGCCCTAGGAGGCCTTTATCCAGCAGTGGAAGACAATGACTGATGCAGGTGGGCAATTACAAACCCCCATGGCAATCGGAACCCCCAGGGTGCAGCCACCGGCCCGCCGGATGGAACGTTCACTATGATGCAAGCATTAAGAGCTGGAATACGCCTGCGATTCTCCCGTGGATTATTTTTGTATCGGGTGATTCCCATTCCGCTTGAATTGGGGGGGGGGGGGGTGGTCTGGCGTTGATTCTGGCACGGAAGATTTGTGCATTAAAAGTCCACTGGATGGGTTACATAAGCATCGGCCATACGTTTCAGTTGAAATTCTAATAGGGCGACAGGAATAATCACGAGAGCTGCCTGCTACTGCTTGCCTGAATGTTCCACGCAGTCCGCGAAGACCATTCCCCCCCCACCACCACCATTCCACGATTTCGCTCAGAGTGATATCAGGTTATTTAAAATTGAATCGCGATTCCAAGCTAAGGATTGTTAGACTCGTCCCGAGCTTCACTAAGTAGGTATTGACCAATTCACACGGAAGCAATGGAGAATTAAATTACAAATCATGGATCTGTAAGAGGGGGTGGAGGGGGGTGTTAGCACTCCTCTTAGAACATTGCAAAATGTTTACATCGCAGACGAGGCGAGGGGCCGGCGAAACCAGGTTCTGGTTTGGAGCCTTATTTGGGGCGGGTTTTTCGCGCTCGACTCATCATTCCAAACATCTCCGCAAGCTCGTGTGTCTTGCAAGGGCGAGAGATGCAAGATAAAATGTTGAAAGCACCAAGGGCGAAAGAAACGGCGAGAAATGGGTTTACGTGCGGTGGGTAGAGGACATTGGATTGCGTTGCATATTTTTTTGGCACTCGTGATGGTAAATTTATTGAGGTGGGATCTCTGGAAAATAAAATAAAACATCGATAAACCACACTGCTGGGCTAGCGTGTTTCCCCGAGACACACCTTGAGTCGTAAAAATAATAGCTCACCCTCCCCTTGCCTCCGTCCTCAAACAACACAAATAATCGTAACATTGTGATAAATTATAAGCACAGTCGCTCTGAAACTTTTACTGGAAACTTCTGTAAACGCTCGCCATCTCCCAGAGAATACTTGTGAAGTTAGTTACAGTAAATTCTGACCCAAGGTGACTTTCATGAAACTTAGACACTGATATATATTGTGTATCCCAGTTGCTAAGCCACAGAACCGGAGGCCTTTAATACAAAGTGGCCAGCTACTAACAATAGTTCAGCAGATAATAACTAAATAGAATGAAACCCGTTAATGGACAGAAATCATCCTGAGGAATGTTGATAACCAGATAATGTGTTTTTTTAATATCACGTGGTGCAACCCGCCTCAGATTCTCATCAATTGTTACATTTTGATAAACGCCATATATTTCTGCTGTTGATGTTGTGCAATGCTGTGCTATGCAATGTCACTCTTTTCGGGAGCATGGTCAGCATTTTTTGGGATAATATACAGTATATACAAATGAAAAAATACATTCGCATACAAGAGAAGACATAATGAAAGGTATGCAGTGAGAAACTGTCGTGACTGACTTTAGCATCTCAGTCAAATCCTCAGTGCTGCCGCCCTTCACAACGTACACCGCCTAGACTCGCTCAATATACACGTACAGTGCAGACATAATTACGGGTGTTTTACATCAGCGTTTTTTTGGCCACTCTTCATATTCCACTGCCGACAGCGTTACAGTGTTTCCATACACAAGAGCTGGACTTTGTACTGGGAGACGCAGTGCCAGTGATGTCTGGAATCACCCCCAAGGGGACGGAGTTCCATGCATCAATCACAACGCCTAACCTTCTCAGCATACCAGCAATTGCCCCGGACCACAGGTGTGGTGGGTTCCTTTAAGCGTCCTCCCTTCCCTCCCTCGCTTCCCCTTCTCACCATTCCATAACTTTTGTCTCCGATAACCATCGGCCACGATCAATCCACTGCTGGATAAAGGCCTCTTGCAAGTCTGCCGTGATTCTGCGACGTTAACAATCCGAGCCAAAAACTGCACTTGAGCCGATTTCTACGTTGGAGTTCCTCTACGACTCGACCATTTGCTTGGCCGTCGATATTTATGACCATCGACCAATCATCCCTTTCGTCTCTCATGCGTTGCCCAATCTCCATCGTATCCCACACCTGACAAAACCCACGCGGTTTACCCGTTTTCTTGTACAGGTCCACACGGCGTACAGCCGTTTCGATACGGGCAAAAATGTTTTTTGTCTATTTGTTTGTGTTTCTCCCTTGTGATGGGACTTTGTAGGATGAACGTTGAGATTTTTAAGGCACGGGGTGACCAATAAGGTCTGAAATGGTCTGCAATAAGGTAGGGCACTGATAAGGGGTTGACAGGTTTTCCTACCCCGAGACACCTACATCCTATAACCTCGCCAGCCATGCTACGAAGTGGTCTGGCCTGCTCATATCAGCATAAACGTATCATGTGACTCTTAGCACACAAGACACACACACACTAGGGCGCCCTACAAGAGACTCTCAGCCTGAATGACGTGCTCTGTTGGGCAATAGTATACACAGGATACATATGGGGTGAAACATCCTTCCCTGTCAGGCTGGATAGCGGCCAGAGCAAGCGCTATAGCTGGCCACCTATTAAAGCCAGCTCAGCAATTTGCACACCAGGCCTGTTTTGTGCCTTAGCACTGCCTTTCACATATCCCATTTATCCTTTATCTCACCCCCCCCCCCCCCCCCCCCCGAATTGTATCCAAGTCAAGCTATCGGCGGCGTAAGGTCACGACACGAAAAATCCATTTGGATCTCTCGCAGGGCAGCGCAACCCTTTCTCGTTGGAGAATGACCCGCAGAAGTGGTTACTGCAGCACTATCTCTGGAATCACTTCAAGAGCCATGTGGTCCACATAGTCAAACAGATACTTATTTTTCTCATAGATGTAATTTAACCATATTATGTGCAGGACATAATTTATGTGCAGGACATAATTGAATATGATGGGGGTTTTTCTTGTTTGTTTTTGTGAAGAACCCAGTTTAATCACACGTGGATGCCTAGAGCTCCACACACACATGCCCAAGATTGCAACACAGAATGACCCATCGACAAATCGTCACTGAAACTATTCAATCTCTTACTTACACGTATACAATATGCACGTAAAACTTGCTCCTCCTCAAAATGGTATTGTCAAGATCAGGGGTGAAGGAAAGGATAGATTATTTTATTGATACTGTGCTGAATGTA